TCCCCATCCCTATCCCGATCCCTATCCCCATCCCCATCCCCATCCCCATCCCTATCCCTATCCCGATCCCAGTCCCATTCCCGGTTCGGTCTCTCGGGCTCCCCCTGCCCGCAGCGGGCGGAGCGGGGGGTCCTCCCCTCCAGCAGGGGGCGCTGGGGGCGGTGCGGCCATGGCGGCGGTGCGGGCAGTCCTCCCGTCCGGCAGGGGGCGCTGCGGCGCGGTGCGGGCGGTGCGGCCATGGCGGCGCTGCGGGCGGCCCTGCTCGCCCCGCTGCTGGCGCTGGGCCGCGCCGGGCCGGGCCCCGCCACCCCCGCACGGGTCGAGGTGGCCGTGTCGGGGCCCGGGCCGGCGGGGCCGGAGCGGGACGGGGCCGGCGGTGAGGCCGCGGCGCCCGGCGGCTCGTACACGCTGCGTGGGGCCGTGCTGGGCGCGGGGGGAGGCGGGGCCGGACCGGGCCGGGGGGGCCCGCGGGGGGAGCGGGAGGAGATGGAAATCCGCGGCCGCCTGGTGCTGGTGAGCGAGGGGGACCGGGAATGGGGCTGAGGGAGGGCGGGGGGCACGGGCGAGGAACGGAGGGGGAGCGGTGGGTACTGGGGGGCACTGCGCAGTGGAGAGAGGGGCTGTGGGGCCTGGGTGGGAAGGATGGAGGGGGAGCAGTGGGAACTGAGGGGCGCTGGGAGACACTGGGGGGCAGTGGGCATTGGCGGGAGTTAGTGGTCAATGTGCGAGGGAGGGGGATTGGTCTGAACTGGGGCAGTGGGCACTGGGGGTATCTTTGGGCACTGGGAGGGGAATGGGGACTGTGGAGCAGTGGGAAGTGGAGGGCACTGGGAGGCGCTGGGGGTTGGTGTGGAGGCCAGGGGCACTGGGGGACACTGAGCAGTGAGGGGGTCCCGCTGCCTGGGGGTGCCCAGCAGAACAGGGGAGGTGCAGGCAGGCCAGGCCCTGTCCCCTGTGCCACCCTGTGCTTTGGGGGGTGCCCAGAGCCTCTGTGTCCATCCTGGCTGTCCTGGTCCCTGCCGTACCCCAGGTGGGTGAGGCAGAGCCGGAGCTGGGCAGTGCCGACAGCTGGATTGGGGTGGTGCCCGTGGGCACCGAGGAGCCACCCGAGGGCCCCCGCGGGGCCAAAGAGGAGTCCTTCACCACCGCCGTCGTCACCAAGGTGACCTCCTGCTTGGCCTTGTCCCCTCTGCCCATCTCTGTCCCCCCTGCCTGGTCCCGGTGCTCGTTCTCTCTGTCCATCCCTGTCCTGTCTGCCGGCCCCTGTCCCCTCTGCCCCATCCCTGTCCCCTCTGCCGGGCCCTGTCACCTCTGCCCCGTCCTGTCACCTCTGCCCAGCCCTGTCCCCTCTGCCCATCCTTGTCCCCTCTGCCCATCCCTGTCCTCTCTGCCCGATTCTGTCCCCTCTGCCCATCCCTGTCCCCTCTGCCTGGCCCTAGTCCTCGTTCTCTCTGCCTGGCCTGGGGGCTGCCGTGGTATTGGTGGGTCGCAAGCCCTCAGAGGTGTCACTTGGAGTGTCTTCTCACCAGATGCTGGGGGTTCTGGCTTGTGCTTGGTGCCAGGGGGGTCCTTGACAGGGCCCTTTTCAGTTCCCTGTGACCTCAAAGAGGCATGGGGTGCTCCCTGCAGCAGGACAGGGGCTGGCAGGGGACACGCTGAGCTGCCCCCTGAGCGTGTCCCCTCTGTCCTCGCAGATGAAGCGAGCCCTGGTGCTGGGGGCCTCGGCCCTGCTCATCCTGGCGCTGAACCAGAACGCCATCCGGGAGGTAGGGCAGTGCCTCTGGGGGGCTGGGCCAGGGTCGGGCCCCCCTGATGGCTCTGCCCCCCTCCCCCTGCAGCTGGACGTGTCCCAGCTCCTCGCCAAACCCGTCATCATCATCCAGTCCTCCGACAACGTCACCAGGCTGCTGGGAGCGCTGCTGCGGTACGGGCTGGGCACTGCCTTTCCCTGCCTGGTCCCTGCCCTATACCTACCTGGTCCCTGCCCTATACCTTCCTGGTCCCTGCCTGGTCCCCCACCCAGCTGTGCTGCCCTGGGGATCTCTTACCCAGCGTGTCACGTTTGCTGGGCTGGTGTGGCCTGCACTGTGCCAGGCTGAGACGTGTTTCCAGCAGAGGTTTGGGTCAGATCCAGCCCTTCCCCAGGGCTAGAGCCCTTCCGTGGGTCCTCACATGGCAGCAGGGGTGACAGTGGCCTCAGCCAAGAGCTTTAGGACTCTTGGTACAAATTATCCAGCCTGGCTGGTTGTTGGCATGGCACCAGCATCCCCAACACTCCTGGGGGTGTTTGTCCTCACCAGCTGCAGCGGTGGGACCCCCTCGGTCGTCCTGACATGTGGGACATTGGGATTGCTGCCTTGGAGTCATAGATGGGGAAACTGAGGCACAGGGCTGGGAGGAAGAGCCCTGGGCAGGGTCACTGAGGGTTGGGCATGGCTGGGGAGGGAGTGTCTTGCTGTCACCTCCTGTGTGTTCCTCTATTCCCCCTGATCCCCATCTACCAGTCCCTCTGGGAAGGGGGTGCTCCCTGGCATTATAGTCTGTGCCCAGATCCTGCTGTGCCCATGGAACTGATGCTCCTTTTTGCTCACAGTGGGCTCCGGGCCACAGCAAAGATCACATACCAGGCGGTGCTGCTGGAGAACCTGGTATGTAGGTCCTTCCTCCTCCTCCTCTTCCTCTCTCTCCCAGTGGGAGGGCAGGGCATTGGCTGTGCCCAGCCAAACTTCCCCGATGCACGGGGAGCAGCTGGGGGGTGCAGTGCCCAGCCCCAGAGTGTCCCAGTGTCCCCGTGGGAGCGGGGCAGGTGGCAGTGCCACCGTTCCTCCTCCCCGGAACACGTGTGCTCCCGTCACCGGACGCTGCCGTGGCCATCAGCAATGCCATGTCCTGCCTTGCAGGGGGTGACCCTCACCCTGTGGTCCACGTGTGGCCTGTCCCGAGGGGGCCTCTATGGGGAGTGGCAGGGGGTCATCTGCCCTGGGGAGAGCAGCTCACAGGTCCAGGTATGGCACCGGTGGGGTCCTGGCGGGGCCGGGAGCAGGGGGAGGTCTCCAGCTTAACCCCCCCACCATGCCATTCCCACAGAAGTACCTGCAGCAGCTGTGGAACACCATCCTGCTGATCGCCCTGCTGCTCTGCACCGGGGTCATGGTGCAGGCACAGCGCCAGTCGCGGCAGGACCTGTCGGAGCAGGATGCCGAGGTGGGAATGTCCCCGCTGTGCCCCGTGCTGGGGGCAGTGGCAGGCGGGCCTACCCCTGCCCCCTGGCTCTGCCCCTGCCCCCTGGCTCTGCCCCTGACCCCTGACTCTGCCCTTGCAGCTGGACCTGAAGCAGCACATTCGGCGGCGGCTGTTGGCGCTGAAAACCCGGCGGTACCACCCCGGGAAGCCGCCGCGGAGCCGGGCCTGCGAGATCGATAGCTGTGCTGTGTGCTTGGACCAGTTCCACAAGAGCCAGGTGGGACTGGGGGGGCCTGGAGCCTGCCCTGGGGACACCGGTGCTGGTGCCACCCTGGGATGAGGTGTCCCTGCCGGGTCCAGCTGTGTCCCTGCCAGGGTCTGGCTGTGTCCCTGTTGGGATCTGGCTGTGTCCCTGTCAGGGTCCAGCTGTGTCCCTGCCAGGGTCTGGCTGTGTCCCTGCTGGGTCCATTCACATGTGCCCTCCCTTCCCTGCCGGCAGTGGCTGCGGGTGCTGCCCTGCTCCCACGAGTTCCACCGGGACTGTGTGGATCCCTGGCTCCTGCTGCAGCAGACCTGCCCTCTCTGCAAGCGCAACATCCTGGGTGAGAACTGCCATGGCACCTGGCCGGGACCCCTTGGTCACCCTGGGGCATGGGCTGGGGAGCACTGAGAGCCCTCCAGGCTCCCTGTGCCATGGCTCTCCACCCTTCTCCCTTGCAGGGAACTGCTGCACGGACAGCTAGCGGGCCCGAGGACACTCCAGGGACAGACCCACGGCCACTCCGGGGTGAGGGAGGGGACAGGGGGTGCCCAGTGAGTGGCACCTGCTGCCAGAGCTGGGTCAGTGTGGCTGTGCCACCACAGCGCCCGGACACTGCAGAGGGAAGGACTCGGGGCTCTCCGATGGGTGTGAGTAGAGGGGTGGGAGGTCCAGATGGGCAGTGCCGGGTAGGGAAGCTGCGGGGGCACCCATGGGTGTAATGGGCTGGGGGCTGGGGGCAGGGAGAGTCCTGACCCTGCCACCCTTGCCCTGCTTATGGGAATTTTTCTAAGTCTTGGGTTTTTTGTCTATTTGCTGGTGGCCATGGCAGGGTGGGCAGAGCCCAGCTGTGGCACCAGCCCCTTGGGGAGGTGGGGGACAGACCTGCCAGGGCTGGGGCTGGCAGGACTGCGGGGTGACCCACGGCCCTGCTGTGGGAGGGCAGGGGGCAAGGATGCTTTATTTATAGTAACTTATTAGAAAGGACGGCACGAGTTGACTGCAGAGCCACCACTGGGCTCGTCTCACCCAACACAGTGAGTGGGGACATGCCATGAGCCCTGTCTGGCTCCTGCCCCACAGGCTGCAGCGTGGCACGTGTCCATCCCTATTAAACACAGAGCAAGGACTGGCTGTGTGGCTTGTGTGGGGCTCGTGGGGCAGCTCGGAGGTCAGGGCCAGCCTGTGCCAGTGCCTTGGTGGTCCCCAGCCCCTCTGGGTGCTCATGGAGTGAGGAATGACTGTTCCAGGCTGTGGCTGTGCTGGTGGGCCAAGAGCGGCTGGGATTCCTTCATCCCAGCCCAGCTCTGCCTTCCTCTTCCAAGTGTGGCCACATCCCAGTCCCCTCTTGGGAATGGTTCCTGGCAGGAACTAACACACACAGTGCCCAGGCATTGGCACGGGCAGGGCTGTGCTGGGGCCTCCAACAGCAGCGTAGCCATGGGTGACTGAGCTCCAGTGCCCAGGAACGTCCCTGGAGCAGCTCCACAAGGAACAGGCAGAGCCCAGGTTTCCCAAGGGAATGTGCATTTCTGACGCACAAAGACCTGGTAACGAGATCCCCCTGGGCAGGGCAGGTGGCTGCTCGTGGAACAGTTCATTTCCCTGTTAGAAGATCAGCTCATCAGTGTTTATTTGTGGTAGGTCCCCGTGTGGTGCAAGGGAGGTCGAGCCCCAGGCGTCCCACTGGGAGCGACAGGCTGGGTCTGGCCTGGAATGTGGGCTCTGCCCGGAGCAGCTTGGAGTGCTGGCTGTTGGGAACTCGATGCCAGGCCTTGTCCATGCATCCCGGCATCCCTCTGCTGTCCCTGCTGTCTTTGCTGTCGCTGCTGCCTCCCCTGCTGGGCCTCCTGCAGTGGTGGGAGCAGTTAGAGAAGAGGAAGAGCAGGGAAACTCCCAGCCCCTTTCTCTGGGCTCCTACTCACCCTGTGTCCTGCCCGCTGGCCTTCCCTTGGAGCTGGGACCCCAGCTGGGCCTGTGGGATTAGCTGAGGCAGGGAAGAGAAGAGGGGGTGAAATTCCACATCTCCCCAGCATTCAGCTCCAGTCACAGCCCTCAGCCTCTGGCCTGGAGGTGTCACCGCTGGAACCGGCCCTGGGCACCTCGGCCAACACCAGTTAAAGCAGAGTGACCTCCCAGCAGCATGAGGATCCCGGCCCGGCCCTCCTGGGGTCCCCAGAGGATGTCTGGGGGCCATGGAGTGGTTTTGGGGTGCACAGCACCCACCCCTCTGCCCCATGGCCCCAGCTCACCTTGAGCACGCCCTGCTGGGCAGCCGCCTTCACCTTGGCCAGCACAGCGCCCAGCCGCGCGTTCTCCCGCTCCAGCACCCCGATCCGGATGCTGTTGGCCTGGAGCTGATTCTCCATGTCCTCCGTCAAGTTCCCAGTGCCTGCAGGCAAAATCCAACGGAGCTCAGCCTGCTCAGAGGTGTGGGCATCCCTCCTGCCTGCCAAGGGAAGGAGCCTGCCCCAGCCTGGGAGCACGGGCACAGCCTGGGAGGTGGCAGCTGGGACCCCAAACCCTGTGGGCAAATGAAGCTCTGCCATGTCCTGGTCCTGCTGTAATTCCTGGCCTGGGGGTGGGATGCATGGCACCCACATAGGGAAGCATGTTGGGACGGTCACAGCTTAGCACAGCCCAGGGCCTGAGCTCTTCCTGGATATCAGTGGGACAAACGGCGTGTCTGGGGCCAGCAGGATCCCCTGGGAGACCCCAAAGGCACTAGCCCAGGGTGTTGCTACTCCCTTACTCTCAACCTGCGCCTCGGCGGGGACATGGAGCTCAGGGAAGAACACCAGGAGCCTCTCCCGCTCCCTCAGCTCCTGCGCCTGCTCCTCCAGCCGGGACATGTTTGTCTGCAGCTCCAGGATGGATTGTTCCAGGGCCAGCTTCTCCTGCTGCAGCGTGTCCAGCAGCTCCTGCATGGCACAGTGGGGAGGAGGGGAGGTTTGCAGGATGAGGAATCCCATGGGAGCACTCAGACCTCCATGGAAAGCTCCCTCCCTTTCCTCATGTGATAAGGTTGTCCCATGAAGTTGAGAAAGGGACAGGAATAATGCGCAGGGTCTTGGCTCTAAGGTCCCTGTGTGACCTGGAAGCAGCAGCACTGACCATGGAATATGTCTAGGAATGGGCACACTGGAGATGTGGGAGCAGCGTGAGGTGTCCCTTTCTGATGCCTTGGGTGTGGGAAAAAATCAGTGGAGACCTGTCTGCAAGGGGCTGAGGGAGAGTCCCAGGAGGGATGACCATGTGGCAATGTCACCCTGTCACCCAGAGTGCCCCTCCTGGAAAGCTCTGGCTGTGGGAGTGGCTCTGGACACACCCGTGGCACAGCTGTGTCCCACACCTGGGTACCAGCTCTCACCTGCTGTGCCTGGAGCTGTTTCCCGCTCTGCTCCCGGCTCTGCTCCAGCTGCTCCTCCAGCCGGGCCTTGTCCTCCTCGGCCTCTCCCAGGCTGTTCTGCAGCTCCTCCCGCTCCCGGTCCAGCCTGTCAAGCTGCTGCAGCAGGAGCTTCTGCTTGGCCTGCAGGGACTGTGGGGGTGGGTGAGGCTGTGTGGGGCTGTGGCACCCGCTCCCCCCTGCCCTGACGTGGGGGGCACTCCGGGCCGGCCGTACCTCCTCGTGCAGCAGCACACTCTGCACTCGGACCTTCTCCTTCTCCAGCTCCAAGCTGGTGGCACTCAGCTCCTGCTCCAGGCTGTCCCGCTGGCTTGTGAGCATCTGCACCTTCTCCTCCAGCTCCAGCATCTGGCTCCGGGCCACCATGGTGGTCCTCATCTCCTCCAGCAAGGTGGTCTTGGTGAGCTCTGGGGAGACACAGCGGCTGTGGCCCAGGCTGGGCAGGGGGCAACAAGTGGAAGGTCCACAGAGATGCTGCCAGGGCTGGAGCCCCTCTGCTCTGGAGCCAGGCTGGGAGAGCTGGG